CCTTGGCTCCATCCTCCGTCCCACCCAGTGTCTCGTCGAAGAGCGGGGCGGTGTTGAACGCGACGTCACGGAGGGGAAGAGGCTCGGATGGAGATGAAGAGGAATGCTGCAGCTCCCTCTGTCGGGCAGTCAGCCAAGCAGCCACGGATTCCTCCTGAACCCACTCGACGCGAATCCAGAACGGATCTTTCCAGACCACGCCGTCCGCGCCACCCAGAGAGATGTCCTTGTCTCTGTTGGGCTCGACCGCTGTTCCCACAGTCCAAGCCCCACGCGGATCAGCCACACGCCAAGAACCAGGACCCGGAGAAGGTGCCGACCATTTGGTTGCCGAATCTCTTTCTCGCGGGCCCTTCCCGATCAAGCGGCGGCCGCCCCGATGTGCAAGGTAATCATCAAAGGCACGCGAGCTACCATCCGGCTGCTCAGTTTCCGACTCATTTGAACCCCCATTCTCCCCATAAGCTTCGAGGTGCCTGCTCATGGCCTCCTTGATGCGCTTCTTCATCAGTTCCGGGGTCCATTCTTCGCGGAAGCGATACACCGCAGTCCTCAAATTTGGCAAGGTCCTCAGGCCAGGCGGGACTACGCGGACCTTTGCTGGTCCATCGCTTGAGCGCCCCCGCAAATCCTCCTCATAGATGTCTCCGTCAGGGGTGACAATCCAGTAGAGGCCAGGGCCTCCGCCTCGCAGTAGCACCCTGCGTTCGTGCCAGACTGTATCATCGTCGTAGAACACCACTACTTTCTGGCCTGGACGGTAGCTCCAGTATGCCACCCCCGCGGCGTCGGCCATGGCTTGGGCTAACAAAGGATTCTGTAGAGGGACGCCTTGTCCAGCGCCCTACAAGGAAGACCGCCAGATGCGTTCCCAAGATGCCGCACGCCAGGCCAAAAATCCCGAGATGGGTGATGCACACCGCCCCTTCAGGGCGGGCCTCCTTGCAGACCTCGTTGTCCGGCTGTGGTTCCTCAGTCGGGCACCTAAGCTCCTCGGACAGATGCTCAGCTACTTTCTTGGCCAAGTTGAAGGCAGGATCCTCGAAACACCACGACGGGGCGATACGGGGATCGGGTTCCAGGAAGGCCTTTTCGAGGAGCTTGCCGCCTAAGAGCAAGAGGGCTACCCAGCTACGGGGGAACATGTTACAAGCTTGAGCATGACCGGGCGACCAACGCACGGTGCTGCTCCATCCAGTATTCTCGTATATATACTTCCAGATCCCCTTCCGTACAAACTTGTGGTGTGTGGTGTGTGGTGTGTGGTGTGTGGTGTGTGGTGTGTGGTGTGTGGTGTGTGGTGTGTGGTGTGTGGTGTGTGGTGTGTGGTGTGTGGTGTGTGGGGTGTGGTGTGTGGTGTGTGGTGTGTGGTGTGTGGTGTGTGGTGTGTGGTGTGTGGTGTGTGGTGTGTGGTGTGTGGTGTGTGGTGTGAGGTGTGTGGTGTGTGGTGTGTGGTGTGTGGTGTGTGGTGTGTGGTGTGTGGTGTGTGGTGTGTGGTGTGTGGTGTGTGGTGTGGGGTGTGTGGTGTGTGGTGTGTGGTGTGTGGTGTGTGGTGTGTGGTGTGTGGTGTGTGGTGTGTGGTGTGTGGTGTGTGGTGTGTGGTGTGTGGTGTGTGGTGTGTGGTGTGTGGTGTGTGGTGTGTGGTGTGTGGTGTGTGGTGTGTGGTGTGTGGTGTGTGGTGTGTGGTGTGTGGTGTGTGGTGTGTGGTGTGTGGTGTGTGGTGTGTGGTGTGTGGTGTGTGGTGTGTGGTGTGTGGTGTGTGGTGTGTGGTGTGCGGTGTGTGGTGTGTGGTGTGTGGTGTGTGGTGTGTGGTGTGTGGTGTGTGGTGTGTGGTGTGTGGTGTGTGGTGTGTGGTGTGTGGTGTGTGGGGTGTGGTGTGTGGTGTGTGGTGTGTGGTGTGTGGTGTGTGGTGTGTGGTGTGTGGTGTGTGGTGTGTGGTGTGTGGTGTGTGGTGTGTGGTGTGTGTGTCTGTGTCTGTGTCTGTGTGTGTGTCTGTGTCTGTGTCTGTGTCTGTGTCTGTGTCTGTGTCTGTGTCTGTGTCTGTGTCTGTGTCTGTGTCTGTGTCTGTGTCTGTGTCTGTGTCTGTGTCTGTGTCTGTGTCTGTGTCTGTGTCTGTGTCTGTGTCTGTGTCTGTGTCTGTGTCTGTGTCTGTGTCTGTGTCTGTGTCTGTGTCTCTGTCTGTGTCTGTGTCTGTGTCTGTGTCTGTGTCTGTGTCTGTGTCTGTGTCTGTGTCTGTGTCTGTGTCTGTGTCTGTGTCTGTGTCTGTGTCTGTGTCTGTGTCTGTGTCTGTGTCTGTGTCTGTGTAGGTGTCTGTGTCTGTGTAGGTGTCTGTGTCTGTGTCTGTGTCTGTGTCTGTGTCTGTGTCTGTGTCTGTGTCTGTGTCTGTGTCTGTGTCTGTGTCTGTGTCTGTGTCTGTGTCTGTGTCTGTGTCTGTGTGTGTGTGTGTGTGTATACAAGAACCTGGCAAACAGGCCAGGAAGCTCAGGCCGAACTGGCTGTTTGTTTTTGGACGTCAACTCCGTTCATCGAGAATTTCACAATATTCAAGCTGCAACCTGTACTGACTCCAAGTCTGCGAGCCTTTGCGGAGGCGTATGCGTGTTGCGGCGCATTCGAGAAGCCCGAGAGAGGCCCCGCGGCCCCACGTTGGTCTCACACGCGCGGCGCGGCCAGGCAGCCCAACATCGCGACAGACGAGCCTCGAGGAAGTGGACCCGCTGGGACGCCCTTCACTGCCACCTTCGAGTCGAGATCGAGCTCTTCATCCCGCTGGCAGCTTAGAACAGGGTGCAACCAATGGGGGGCACCTGGGCCTCTCGTGCCCAAACGCGCTTTTCATTCTGCTCCCTGCCCTATCGATCTCGCAGGCAGATCGCACGGAGTCTAAGAGCAAGAAGCATCTTTTGATTCTCTTGTCCCTCGCAATGGCATCCAGGGGTGGGTGGCAGGTGTGTAGTAGCAGCATTCTGTTTTGGTGTGTCAAGCTGTCGGTGGTCTGGTTTGACGGTTTTGCGCCCGCTCAAAGCCACACTCCACTGGCCACTCCTTTGGTGTCCCAACCCCTTTGAAAACCTAATCCCTATCCCTAAACCCTAAATCCTACTAAACCTCACTCTTCGGGTTACGTTTGTTTAGGGGTTTGGCCACGGGGTTCCTTGGCAGCGGTCTTGTGGTTGAAGCTCCAGAGAGGGTTATGGTGATGAATGGCGACTGCACGAAATTAAGGGTTCCCATTGGGGCTCCGGCTGCATAATTCTCTTTTTGCAGGGCTCGGGGTTGTCCCCAAACGTATCAACAGACCCGCCAAAAAAAGCCTAACAAAGACGGCCTTTTCCAGCAAAAGATTGGGCATGACCTGTGGCAACTGACTGCTACCGTGCGTTAATGGACTGCTTGGACGCTCTGCGGAAATGGGTTAACCGCAAATCCGCAAGGCGCCCAACTCCTCAACTTTGAGAGATTGCCAGCACTTCCTGGTCGAGTACTTACACCCGAAACGAAAGCTTGTGACTGGTGACTACGTTGGACATCGACATGGGAGGTTGCTTGCATCTCTCTGCCAGTGGCAGCATCTACATTTACAGGTGAGACAGGAGTGGCTGCCCTGCTCCTGCGACTCCAAACGCATCAGCCTGCGCAGCCATGAAAGATGAAAGATGCAACCACGACGAATCCTCGGGAGGCCTGTGTTTCGCGTCTGCGATCAAGGAGATACAGCTTGGCGGAACCATTTTGGATCCAAGCAGACTGGCACCTGTTTCGGAGCTGTGAACAGGCTTGGGCAAGGGCGTATGAGGGCCACTCCAATACTGGCCTCCCAGTATCCGAGATGGTCGGCAATGTGCTCAGTCACCTGCACGCCGCAAGCAGGCAACCAAAGGATCGCCAAGGTCCCTTCATGGAATTAACAAGATAAGTAAGCCTTGGCTTGACTGGAGGGCACGTTCATCGACAAATTGCGGTATGACTTGCTCTTAAAACTCATGCGATTTACTGGTACTTGCTTTCGTGTGACAGCGCTGGCAAGTGCCTCATGTGCGGCTTTGGCCCGCGCTATGCTGGCAAGGCCTGAGCTCATGTCCATGCGGATTTTTCAATTTTTTGAATGCCGTCATTAGCTTCGAGATGCCAGGTCTATGTGGCATTCTTCCTGGGTGTCAGAACGGTCCTACATGCTCTTAACTGTGGATGGTCAAATACCCTAATTCATAGGGCAACCTTGATTGCGGCAGGTGCACCTGTGCTGCATGGAAGGTTCTTCCCACGCCAGCTGTCCAGAACGCATCTGGGCTCGAGCTGCCTGGTAAGGAGCCATCCGCTTGAGGTGTGCCAGCCTCAAGACGTGGGATGCCAGCATGGTCCATGCTGTGGCATCCCTCAACACTTGCAGATGATAGGACGGCGAGGAAGGGCACGGGCAGGGGTCCCTACACATAACTACTGACATGTTGCAGTAGCAATGGCGCTTGCACTTTGAAACTGAACAGCTATGCCGACAGAGCGAGAGCGGCTGAAAATGTTATGAAGGCGAAGATCACACTGCGAGGAAATCCGATTTGGAAATTGTACCAAACTCGGGGCCACAAGACAGCTCAAAGAGGGCCCCTGACGAATGTTGATTCGCTTCCCCTCGGCCCCGGCCGAGAAGCTACTGGAACTAGCAGACGTCTCCTTCCCCCCCTCTGCCACGTCCCCAGGCCCAACCCCCCCCTCCCCGGAATGATTGCAAGTGAGGCTTCCCGGGTTTCCCAAAAACCAGCCTTTCCATGTCCCCAAGGCTCCATTGTCACTTGCTGGTTCAAGGGTTTTCGGGTTTACGGGTCGCCTGCTCTCCGGCGTCGCTTGAGCACAGCGTGCTGTTGCTCAACCCTGCAAAAGCGACGAACACGCCACAGCTACAATGGCGACCCTGGCCTCTAAACCTAGGATGGGCTGGCAAACGAGGGGCTAGTGGGTGAGGCACTCAGAACCTCCGTCGCCAATTCGGACGTCATACTCTGTCACAAAAGTGAAGCTGATGCAAGCGAAGCAGCCGGTCGCTTGCCCGCTTGTGGGGACGGAGGGTGTGCCTCACGATTTCTTGTAGCTGCAGCTTTGGCTCACCAGTATTGCTGCTTTGCTGTAAAAGCTACAAGGGCTTGCTATCTCCAACCAGTGGATAGAACATGCATCCCCCAGCTCGAGCCTGCATCACAAAATACATCAGTGGCTTCGTTTTAAGTAGCTGCTCTTTGCAGTGGAGCCATCAGACACGTTTGGGAATGTCGGCCCTTCCAAGAGCGTCAGGTAGTGCATGTAGTATCATCTAGCATCGTGTAGTATCATCACACTCAATGTGTTTCAGCCACCGTTACACGGATACCGTGTGGAGACGAAGCTGTTCTTTTCAAGCCGTGAAGAGTGCAGGAGAGGAATGGTCGGTTGCCAAGATGCCGGAGGCGCAAAGTTCTCTGCGCAAGACGGTGATGTGGCGGGGGCTATGTTGGGAGCCAGGGCCTCTTGCATGACCTTGACAAACAAGCTAAACCTTCTTTGTGCAATGCTGCTTGCTGACCGCTTTAAGGCAGAATGTAGCAGAATCTGTCAACTGAGCATTCGCGCTTCGTCAGGCGGCGGTGGCGGCGGTAGCGTGTCCTAACATACTGTGGGTCAGCGACCAGAAACTCTGAATGAGTTGCGTGATGTTGGTTTGACACAAGCCTGCCGTGACAGTGGCGGCCGCGGACAGACATCACCATCCAGGGCTGAAGGCTTCTTGCGAACCTGTCGAAGCAGGTACTGTAGTGATAAATAACAGGCACAACACTCATCCACATGCGAAACTATAGCAAGTTGCAGAATCGGGGCACCTGATCTTCAGCTAAAGACGGGATGCGCGCGATTGCCAGTGCAGGAGGGGCAGATGCTGCTGTACCACCTTTCAGGGAGCCGCTGTGACAGATTTCGATTGGAGATGCCGAATCCTGTCCCAACGTCTCAGCAATAAAGCAGGGTCATTGCGGACAGCCGATCTTGCTGCAGCGCCTGACCGTCGCTTCCTTCTGTCCTCGCATTCAGCAGGCCGAAAGCGAAAGCGCTGGCAGCCGCTGGCATGAATGGGTTGAAGATGGTTGAAGATCCATTGCGGTCTCCCGCCTCGGCTCTCCTCAGAAGCTGCAAGCGTTGAGCTTCTTCATCATCCATCTGCAAACTTCGCAAGCGTTCAGCAACGCTGCTCATTCGTTCCATGGTAGACCTGTACCTTGGCGGTCTTGATTTCTCTTCAAAAGCCTCAAAGTCTTGGAGCCTTAGAGCCTTGCCAAAATGACATACACAAGCACGCCACAAGGACACAAGAAGTCTCTGAGCCAAGGGGCTCTGCCTGTGCGTTTTTCTGGGCCTCGGCTGCCAATCGCTTGGTTCTCTTTTTGTTCATGATTTTAGGTGCTACAGCTCCAGCTCAGCTAAGGCTCCGTTGTAGTCAGCGTTCGAGACTTCCGTTCACGGAATGTCTTGCGCGCTGCCGAATTGATGATGTGCTTGGTCTCTTTCGGACTATCCAGGGTCAGGACTTCCTGATGTGAACAAAGAGAACCATTCATGAGGTGCCCGGAAAACAAGAGAGAGAAAGAGAGGGAGAGGGAGAGTCAGGGAGAGTCAGGGAGAGAGATGAGAGAGAGGAGAAATGAAAATGCACTGCTTAATTGCACCTGGGACTCCGCTCCCTCTGCAGTCTTCCAGTGACCATCTTTGGGGTCGAAATTGGGAGTGTCTGGTCTTGCTGGAGGCAAGATCTCTTCGAGACTTGTCAGCAACCCACTCTCCAGCTCAAAAACGTACCTCAGCCGAGCAAGGGCAAGCTGCACGCTGCCAATGGTCTGAGCGCACATCCCGTCTGACGTGCTCTGGGCTGCTGTGCATCCATTCGTGGATCCTGCCAGGAGGAGATGCCATCCTCCGAGTTGACGAAATACCTCGGGGTTCGAAACATGTTCAGCCGCGACTTCAAAAAATTGAACTCCGCCCGGTACTCTCTTGGCAGCTCTGAAGTTGCCACGGGGGGGGGGGGGAGTCTGCCAGACCTGGCCCCGACGACAAAGGCTCGGGCTGACGACCCGCATCATCCATGAATGGTCCATGCCACTTGTCCAGCTCCTGTTTGTGCTGGTGCCACAGAATGCCTTTCTGCTCCTCGAAATACCCAGCTGTGTAGCATTTGAGATAATTGCGTCCTGTCGAGCAGCACCCTGAAGCGCTGCACACTGTGCCATTTGTGCATATTGTGCATTCTTTTTGGAGTGCGTGCCGTGTTATCGCCCCTCCTATCTCCACGATTCTGCGGAGGCAGGGCACAAGTGGATTTTCCCAAGTGCTGACTTGCCTGAGATGTGTGGTATGCCAACAGCGTGCTCGCAAACCTCGAGGCCGGCAGCCAATGCTTCCCAAGCGACCGGTCATGGTCCACATAATAAACATAGCCTGAGTACTGCATGGATGTTTCTTCAAGGGTCACAGCTTAACATAGGCTTTAACATGTTTTAACTATATAAGTATGTGTAATGACCTCTTCGCATGGATCGATGTACAGAGTCGCAGAATGTCACGAACCATGCTTTCTGCTTTGCTCTTCCTGAAAAAGGCGTCTTCATGCACACCCACCCAAACACAACACTATTCATAATAAGCTGTCATAAACCAATCACTACTCGACACTACTCGGCTCTACTCGGCACCGCAGGCCGTGGGAACTGGGCCGTCACGAGGCATCTCTTCTGCTGAGGCATGGAAGATGCGTTGGCAACATCCTTAACAGACTTACCTGCGGCGCAGCGACCGGAGGAAGCATCGCTGTGTGCCGTCCAGCGAGGTGGCAGTGGGCTTTGAATGCCAACTTCTGCAATCCACCCGAACTCCTCTTCCTCTCAAGCCACTGCATTGGACTGTGAACTTCTGTGAACTCAGGCCACAGTCCGGCCTCCTTGATGTGAATGCCCAGCTGCTGCTTGAAGGCTGCAATGACATGACTCTCATCCTGCCACGGCTTTCAGTCTGCTAGGGCAGGACGTCGCGACACGTCGCGATACGCGTCGCGATACGCGTGTGCACTGCAGTGTGCACTGCGTGTGCACTCTGAGCTCCGGACTAGAAGGCGGCCGGCCATGGGCCATTTGCACTGAGGAAGGCATTGCTAGGGGCAGAGCCAAGGCTTGCGGATGCATCGTCCAAATCAGGAACGTGATCATAGGCACATGGCCATGGGAGACAGACTTTAGATGATAGTGTTTGATGCTACAGAAATGTCGACTGCAGATTGGACAACTTCCCTGTTCGCTTTGCTCACACAGCGAATTGCAAGCATACTGCCGCATTATGAGCTCAAGCAGGACTTGATGGCACAAAGTCCAGCTGATAGCTCTATAAGAATGGGCAAGCGGAGTCATGGTAGTTACGGACCGGCAATCTGCGAAGGGCTTTCTTTGCACGCTCCACTCCCAGCATTGGTGCGACCAGTATCACATGTCAGGCGCACAGCACGCAAACACCGCCTGCAAAGGCAGCATGCGCAGCTTCAAGATCTCTAAAAATCTGTTTTCCCTGATGTTCATGTCGGGCCTGTCTAACATAATCGCTTGCTCAGCTGCAGGCAAGCGACCAGCAGCTTTAATCTTCTCCTCGGCCTCCTTGGTGAAGTAGCGCGCCTTGGCAGGCTTTTGTCACTTCGATGCGAGGGATTCCAGCCCAAGTCCACCCAAGTGCCTTCACAATCATCGGCTGCTCGGGAAGCTGGCCCTTGCCCAGCACCTTCATGTACCCGGCCTGGTTCAGTCGCAAGAAGCACGGCAATGACTCGCATAGTATTCACATGCTTGTCAAGAGCCAACACTGCGCCCGCCTTCATGACGTCGATGACGGGGGCCTTGTCAGTCTTGTCCTTCGCAGACAAAAAGAATCTCGAGAAGCAACAAATCTACCTCTGACAAGGCTTGTGGCAAGCCTTGTAGAATAACCTCGTCTGCTCTGAAACCAGCGACCACAGTCGCTCGACGTTGATGGTCGGAATGACCTTACGCAGTCCAGCATCAGCCACAATGGGACTCAGCAAATCTTGGAAGAAGCGGGCGATGCCTTGCCATGCTTGATGAGGTGGAAATTGCGCATACCCACCTCATAAGTTGCTACAGGAAACCACGTGAAGCTTGGTGTACCAACTCCAACAACATTGCCTTTCCGAAGTACCCAGGATGGTACTTGTCAAAGTTGATTCGGTGATGGTGCCTTGAAGGTGCGGCGTCTCCGGGTGTTAAAGCTTACCGGCGGTCTGCATCGGCACATGCCCCAACAGTAAGAGCCGCGCTGGCCACCCGAGTTTCCGCAACCACCCGGATGCTTGCGGTGCTTGCCGATGCGGCCGTGGCCTTGACGAAAAAACACTGCAGCAAGCCGACTTCAGACCAACAATATCCCGACAACGTACAAGCGCAGGGCACAACCTTAGGTCTCGAACCCCTCTTGCGGTGAGCGTGCATCTTGCGGCTCTTCTTGAACCGAGTGGTCATGGTGCCTCAGAGCAGTTGCAGGACCCTGGTTCAATTTCGGACATCACCTGTCTGGACGAGGCACTCGCACCGAACCCGCTTGGGATGGATGTGCTGCTAAACTGCCTACCCTGAAACGGCGAGCGATGTTTCAGATGAGCTTCTCGCGCCTCTTTTGGGCAACAAGTGACTGGTGCAACCCTACACTTCAGCCGCCCCTCCGAAGCAGCAAGCCCCTGGTCTTTTTGCACCTTGTGGGTTTGTGTGTGTGGGGATTGTTGTGCTCCGGGAGGCAAGTGGAAGTCCACACGAACACATGCGGCTGCTTCAACATGCCCAGATTAGCCTATATATGCTCGCCACCCTCCCCCAGATCTTGGGGGGGGGGGGGGAGACAACCATTTGAGTCCAGTACGACCACTGGCTGCCCATTTCTCTGATAGAGGAGTCCGACGGGTTCAGCTGAATCCAAGAGAAGTGTTCTCGACTGGGTCCATAAGAACCAGATTCAGACGTTGATAACAACGTGGCCAGCGGGGGGGATATGGATGGAGGGATGTGGGGATGGATGGAGGGGGGTGGGGAGGGAGGTCACGTGGTCAGAAGCGACCGGGAGCATGCAGACTCAAAACACAGCAACTGCTAGGCCCTGCTAGGCCAGCTCCCCTGCACCTACGAGGCAGAGTGCTACCCAACTGGCAAACATACTGAAAGGCAAGGCCGCTCGTCATCCTCCCACGAGCTGCTGTTTGACAACACACTTCCCTAAGCAGCTGCGTGCAAGGGTACAGAGCGTAGGTTGACACTTTTCGATCAAATCATGATTTCAACAGATCTTTTCGATCAAATCCTGATTTCAAGTGCGTCAAGTCTTTTCGATCAAATCTTGAGTTCGTATTTAGAAGATCATTTCGAGCAAATCAGGGAATCGAATTTTCATGGGCTCTTCGAAGTGGTAGGGGTGTTCTGGAAATCTAAATGATGGAAGTTTGTGTTTCGATCATGATCTCATCCCCGTAGCAGGCGGCACTAGGCCGAAAGGCAAACACGCTTCCCCTGAGGATCCTGCCTCAAGCGCCCATGGCAGCACAACACACGTGTACCACTCACCATCACCTCCTGCCTTGACACAGAACAAGGGGCCTTCACGAAAACAGGTGGGCAAGGTCCCTCGAAGGAGGGTTGCAATAAGCAGTTGAGCTCCCCTCTGCTGGGGAAGCACGAGACAAATGCGGAACACCTGCGGCGCTTCCCTGTGTGCCCCTCACCCGACAAGGGACCTTGTCCGGCTTAGCCTCGTCCCAAGCCTTCCAACAGCAACATGGTCCCTTTGCAGTCGGAACCTCCTTGAGAACACCAGAAAAAAGGCTGACATGCTCCAAAGAGGTTTTCTACGAAAACAAGCTCATGCGAAAGCTCCTGCGAAGTATCGCAGAAGGCCACTCGGATTTTTGTTTTTCGGTCGGACCGGCTCGAATGCTCTTTCACTGGTTGAAGCTTTTCAACATCTTTTTCAAATCAATTTCCAATCTCAACCGGCTCAGCCAGCATTACAAAGAGAGCACCTGCAGTTCTAGTAGAGGCGAAAGAGATTTGAACAATTTAGTGGAAACCGAAAGTGGCTGGGAAGGCGGGGCACGCTTGTTGTACACATGGCAGGACAGTACTGGGGCATGGACGGATAGACAATGGAATGTCAATGGAAGAGCTGCAAACTTCCGTGTTTTGAGGCGATGTTCTGCCAAAGGGCGAGAAGACTTCTGCCACTTTGGGCAGGGTCTTGGCATTAACTTTGCGATAACTTTGCGCGCAAGGAGATGCCAGCAGAGCGGATTCACAGTCGGAGTCTCCTTTGTCCGCTGCCTTTGCTCAACTACTGAATCTGCTGTCACCTTGGCCGAAGTATCGAGGCCGGGGCTTGCGGACTTGGCTCTTTATTACACGTTGTTGCTCTTAATTACTCTTTATGACTCTTGATGACTCTTGATTACTCTTGAGTACTCTTGAGTACGCTTGATTACTCTTGATTACTCTTTATGGCTCTGTATTAGTCCTTATTACTCTTTATTACTCCTTACTACTCTTTATTCGTCTTCATTATTCTTTATTACTCTGTCTTACTCTTTATTTCTCTTTGCATCTCTTTACATCTCTTTACCGTACACTGTCGAAGCGCAGTGGTGCCCAGCTGCATCATCCTGCATCCTGGAGTCCCGCATCAGCCAAGAAGAGCATATCCCCTTGAATTCCCGTCGACAGGGCTCTTGCAGTTTTGTGATTGCCTTGGCAGGGTGCCTGACTCCAGGACTCACGCATTCATTAACAGACTCAGCGCAGATGGGCATGAAGGGGACTCCATTGGTGGCTAGACTTTGAATTTCTCATGCCGGTGGTGTCACTTCGCCTGCATGCTGCATGCGGCTGTGACATCAATTCTAATTTCGCAAAACATCGTAAGGCCTACGGATTCCCCACCAAGAACCCCCTTCGGCGCACCATCATTCTTTGGCGCTTCTATGACAATGGATTGCCCGGCTCATGGTCGGACATGCGGCTGCGGTTGAGCAACGAAGTGGGTTCTCACCAGCCTGCACAGACATGCGCTGGAGACGGGGTAACTCAGAGCTCAGGGATCGAAAATCCTTTGCTAAGTTGAGAGCTTGGGAGATGTCAGCCCGCTCTTCGGCACGCCCTGTAGAGGGTATGATGTGAAAGATCTGGGCATCTGCACCACCTGGGCCATGCCAAGACCTTCTGTATCCGTAGATCCTAGCGATTGCAATCATGAACTAGCCTTGGTCATGTAAGCCTGTTTGCTAGCAGCTGCTCGACTTAATATACTTTAAATTAGCGGCGTAAGTTTGGCATGTCGACTTCCGTTTGGTGGGCGCACCCTGACAAAAAAATTGGGTGGGAGAGGGTAGATTGACCGATAATGGGTAGTACCTGACGGGCGGACCCTCCAACCTGTACCCTCTAACAACTGTCTGGGGGGACGGTTCAGATGTCATTTGACAGCCTTCTGATACTCAGGAAAGGGCAGGCGCCGGCTTACAATGTCATCTTTTCATGTCATGAAGTGTCTTAGTGCTTTCAATGGGAAAAGGGCAGGAGTCGGCATTAAGATGTCAACTTTCGGTTTCAATGTCCGTCCGTCGTTGTTCAATGTCCGGGCATGCAGCCCCATTTGACAGAACACACGAGAGTCATTAGTTTGTACTTGCTTTTCCTTACAAGATGGCAAGCAGGACTGGGCACAACCATGTTGATCTGGCTCCAGGCAGCGTGCCATTGGCATCCTTTGTGCGCTTGGGGAAGGGTAGCGCCTGCACCACAATGACAATCTCTAACGAATCCATCAGCTTCGGCACAAAGCTACCCCGCCTGCCCCCCACGACCGACGAAGCGTTCCAGGAATATGCAATTCTGAACAGTACAGCAGACTTTCCACAAATTAACACTTCTTGAGCGATCTCACAGTAAGCTTGTGACCTCTGGCAGGCAGCATCACCTGAGAGGAACATGGTCGAGTATCCCATCACTTGAGCCGGAGTCGTTGCAACTCTTGCTTTGCGGGCCAGCAGCGCGAGAGCCACGCGGCTCTAGTCGTCGGTTCAGAAAAGGCTGCTTGAGGCCTAGGCATCTGCAGCACCCAACACAACGGCAGCACGTACCCCCAGAGAGAGAGAGAGAGAGAGACAAAAAAAAGAACAGCGCTTCCCAGTCTGTTTTAGCAAGCCTGGGATGAGAGCCGGATAGGGCACACAGGCCAACCTGGAATGGGTGCCTAGCTCGGCAGACACTTCAGGACGAGTACAGCAGAGCACAACATCCGCAACCGCTCTGTCAGAGTTGCTTCTGAATGTAAGTTGAAGAAGAAAGGTCCCGACACACGGCCGAAGCGTAGTTTGAGCAGGCATGGAGTAGCGTCGTTGGGTCTGCCATCAAGCCATGGCAAATCATTGCTTAACGTCTCGCTAGCCACAGCACTTTCAAGGACAGTCTGAGCATCGTGGAGTTCAACGGAGTTCACATCAAAGGTACGAGGTGTTGTGAAGAATGTTCTCCTCTTCCTGTTGGCACATCAGGGCCGCAGCATGACTAGACGTAGCCGCCATGGAAAGAACAATGAGTGAAAGAACGATCAGGAACACCATGCTACAGCAGATATGGCAAGTGCCTGTATTTTCCTGCCTCGACTTGCAGCGAGGGTGAACATCAGGAAGTGAAGTCAAGGAAGTAGTCATGTGCCATTTGCAAGGTACAACTAGGGCAGGAAGTGATAGCAACGGACTTCGATGAGACGCGCAAACTGCAACCCCCGAAAACACATGGAAGCCTGTGAACCTAGCTGTGCTTCAAAGGCTCGACTCGTGGGGCCTCAATCATTCAGGCTGTAAAACTTTTAGGATGGTTTTGAAGCAGCAAACTGCCAGGATTGCCGGAAGTGCGTCAGCCTCGGGAAGCGCCAGAGTGCCTTAAGGGGAATGGTTCACGGAAGCGACTTTTCTTGACTTCGACTCTGTGTGTTCGGAGTCCCTCTCAAAGCTGTCTCCAGACAGCTCTGATGCTTTGCAATCCTAAACTCTGAGAGCCCGACGTCTTGTCACCGTCTGCGAACCAGAGCGATACTGAAGCGGACCGCAGCATGCTTCACTCATCTTCACTCATCCTCACTCTGCCCATAAGAAGAACCTTCAAGGCCTACTTTCCCGCACGACTGTGGACTGCAGCCTTGGCGTTGGCCTGAGCCTCCAAGCGCTCCAGCCTCACATCTGCTCAGATGCTCACTCTCATGAGCCGTCAGCCTGGAAGCACGGATGCTGCGCCTCCTCTTCATTTCAGCACTGTCCTCTCGTAGCTTGTTTAACACCTGGTGAAGCCGACACAAGCCGATGGAGCATCGCTTGGTGACTTGGTGTTCTCCCAGATACCAGTAACCCCCTTTCTAGCCGGAAAGTGTAGGAGGCTGCGGATCTGCCTCCATTGGCACAGCTCTTGCACCTTACGGTTGTCAACCC